ACTCAATAACCCGAATATTGAAACCCCCGATGAATTTGCCGACTCAGAACCATCCCCATCCAATAATTTTCATAACTCTTCTAATTTTTCTCAACCCCCTTTTCAACCCATATTATCCAATAACCCTAACCCAATCACTTCCACACCCTCTTACGCTTCCCAAGTTACCCCAACCTACTCCTCAAATCATTCTGACCAATCATCTCATTCTCCAGACACCCCCCGAATCTCCCCAGAGCTAGATAATTTTATTACCCTCCAACAACAACCCTACCACCTTAATACCCCAACCATAAACCAAATCTCCTCCACTATAAATTCATCCAACCCCCCTACCCCTACACCCTCTTCAAATTATACTGAATCATTAGCACCATCATCCACATCAACTGAATCTTCACTCAACACTAATAGAGCTTATCGCACTTTTAAAAGAAAGTTCCCCAACCATCCTTTCCCAGCAAAACCAGGAACAGCCCGTGAATACATCAACCACCCCAAGCATACTAACACAAAAGACTTTTTAGCCATCACCTTACCCTCATTCCCACAATACACCTTAAACACCCCCCACGACACTAACGAAACACGCAACTTTGTAGATGAATACGTTTTAATGCCCACTCTCTCTTGGACCTCATATTATCATTTCACTAACCCTCTTTGCTTACCTTTATCTAGCACTCACATCGATATAGAGCGAAATAAGGACATGCTATATCGACTCACTACACCACTAACCGCTAGACAATTTACTTACGTTGGATATAAAAAATCACTAAAAACACACACTGCACCTAGAGCTAACGAATATACACTCGAATACTATGATCACAACATCATCAGAGCTAACCAAGATCAATTCTTAGACGACGATCGCTTCGCTAATCCACAAATCACCGAGAAATTTTTCATCAAGACACCATATGTATTTACACTAAACATCTTCGACCGAAAGTTTGATCACATTATTTCAGAAGCACTAACAGACACACAAGCATACGAAAATTTTAAAGAACGCTTCCAAATATTTTCACTAACCTTTCATTTCCTTGACCACACGAAAGAGATTTGCACTGCTCACACGATATTATGTTGCGCACTAAACAAACCCACACATACAGTTATTATCGTTTCATCCAAAATCACTTTGACCTACACACACCCTCTAGACAACCACACCATCGTTTTCAATTCATTAATTCAAAATACACTTCACCATTTTTCCTAAATTTCACATATTGTATTAAAGACACTAACCTCCATGGTATTCTTCGTAATTATGACCCCATAACCCAAATGTACATCTTCTGTCCCATCACCAAGACCTTCAACGCCGAAGAATCCCGACCCTTCCTTATCCCGCACGAGTTTGTACAGCTTATAGAAATCCCCAATATTAGAATTCATCCATAACATTAAATTCAATCACAAATTATATAACCTAATCCAAAACACACCTTATGAGTTTGCAGTTGGCACTGAAGAACTAACCACCATTAAGGCACTTCAATTGCTTTGGCCACTACTTCAGACTAAAAATATCATCCGCATCTTAGCTAAACTACTAACAACCTCAGATCTCAT